TTATGTGGGAGTAAGAGATAAGTGCTAATTCTCTGTATTTCTCCTCAGTTTTACTGTGGAGCCAAAACTACTCTAAATAATAGAATCTATTTAAGGGAAAAAAACCTTATTTGCTCTAGCGAAAGATGATAGTGGCTTGGACCAGGATGGTAATTAAAATATGGGAAAATTAAGTCATTGGTGACTTAAGGAAAATGGAGAGTCTCGAAGCATAGGTTACAGAAACTGAATTAAATAATAAAGTATAAAAATCATGAATTTATAATGAACCCAATGTCCTCTATTGCATGACTTTCTGCCATTCAAGTGCAAGCACAAATATTAAGATTTAGGATCACAGACCTGGCATCGTGGCCTAGTGGATAAAGTTCACGTTTTGCACATGCCAGGATCCCATATGGGCGCCTGTTCTAATCTCGGCAGCTCCACTTCCCATCCAGCTCCCTGCTTGTGGCCTGGGAAAGCAGTCAAGGACGGCCCAAAGCCTTGGGACCCTGCACCTGTGTGGGAGACCTGGAAGAGGATTTGGACTCCTGCCTTCGGATCGGTGCAGCACTGGCTGTTGTGGTCGTTTGGGGAGTGAATCATCGGACGGAAGAACTTCCTCTCTGTCTCTCCTCCTCTCTGTATATCTGACTTTACAATAAAAATAAATAAATCTTTTAAAAAAAGATTTAGGATCACACACAGAGTTTTGCATGTGTGCCTGAGCAGAAAGAAATAAAGCTATATTCAAATGAGTGATCATGAAACGTAATTTGGACAGGAATGTAGGTAAAGAAGGGCCTGTGTGCTGGGAGAAGTTAGTAATCAAAAGATTGGAAGATCTGATATTACCAAATATAGGCACAATTGAAAGAAAAGGAAGTTGGGCCCAGAGTGTAATGTTTGAATATATGATTTGGAGGATAAGCACTTTTCAGTATCCATTACAAAGATGGAAAAGCCCAACATATACTGACAACAGTGTTTGACAGAAATAGAATGGGAAAGAAGATTATTAGAGTGGATATATCCAAAAACTAAATTCTCAAAGTATTTGGATGTTTGCATGGATAATGTTGCCACAAGCATAATGGCAAGGACTTGGAGGAGGAAGAGTATGCATCACATCCCAGAACATTCAATAAATCATCAATAGTGAATATGACAGATAAACAGCAGTACCAGGTTGTGGAGAGGGTGCTAGAACAGGTGGTGTTAACCTTAAAAGTGTGTGTGTGTGTGTGTGTGTGTGTGTGTGTGTGTGTGTGTGCCTGTCTAACACAGAGAATGAAGTGTCATCAATGAGCAAGAAATACAATTCTACCACATGATCCCAAGGTACCAAGGAATAACCATAGTCACTCCTGAAGAAGAAATGGCTATGGGAAAGATGATATTCTAGGGAGAAGGTCTAGATTGACTGAGAGTGTTGTTTTTATAAAAACTTATTTCACAGCAATTAAAGTTCCCTCCTCCTGTTGATAGAAAGAGAGAGACTTTAAAAGTGAGAAGAAACTCAAGGACCTTGCTAATCAGCCCCAGATAATGGGTAAGAATATAGAATTGGAAGCCACAGCCTGGATTTTTATGCATACACTTTTGCAGAACTTGAGATTCTAAAAGATATAAAGCTATCACTTCTCTGGCCTTCTGAATCCAGTTGTTTGCCTTTCCCTTTCAAAAGCATCCATTCTCTCTGTTCTCTGCTTCCTTCTTCACTTGACTGAATAAGATCTGCTTTCTAATCTGGCCCTGTGGTACACTGCTGCAACATCTCAAAATTATCAATGCACACAGGACTCCCAGTACCAGTACAGTCAGATCCATCTCTTTCTTAATGAAGACATTTTGAAGTAATTAGAGATTCTTACATAGTGAATTCTAGAAACATTCCATTTTCTCTCTACAATTGAGTTCCTGCTTGTACCTGACATGGCCACACAGGTCAATGAAAGGAATATATAAAAAGATGCCATGAATGTAATGGGATGCAGCTTTCTCACTGCTGGAGAAGGAGGTCGCAAATACAGAAAAGGGAGAAAAGAGAAATCCCTATGACATTTGGTTAGAACCAGAGTTATTACAATGAAATCATGGTTTTAGGTGGATAGAGATTACAAATATAACCAAGTCAGTAAAGTTAGAGCCATACATGTGCACTGATATAAAAGTTAATACTAAATAACTAAATAGAAAAATTATTTCAAATAATAAAACAATAATGAATAAATATCAGAATATCTCAATCAGTAAATAATCAATGGAAGTAAAAGCTAAGTAGAAAAATTTGATGAAAAGAACAGGATATTGATACAGACCTCAAGTATATCCCTATATTTTATGGGTTTTTTTTAAAGATTTATTTGTTTTTATTGGAAAGGCAGATATACAGAGAGGAGGAGAGACAGAGAGGAAGATCTTCCATCCGTCCGATGATTCACTCCCCAAATGAGCGCAACGACTGATACTAAGCTGGTCTGAAGCCAGGATCCAGGAATTTCTTCCGGGTATCCCACGTGGGTGCAGGGTCCCAAAGCTTTGGGCCATCCTTGACTGCTTTCCAAGGCCACAAGCAGGGAGCTGGATGGGAAATGAAGCTACTGGGATTAGAACCGGCGCCTATATGGGATCCCGGGCGTTCAAGGCGAGGACTTTAGCCACGCCGCCGGGCCCTATATTTTACGTATTAATCATGATTACAAAATAATATCTCAGCGATTCTCTAGTGAAGAAACTAGGCAGAGAGTACGGAAACCAAGTCATCAAATCTGAAATCATCAGTAACGGGAAGCCTGACACTGTGGGCTTTCTGATAAGGCTCATGGAAGAGGACACATCACTTCTGTAGTTGCCTAGCTAAAAATGTGAAACCTGAATCAAACTCTGAGGAACACTGAACAAACCGAATTGAAAGACAGTGCACCAAATACATGACCTAAGGTCCTCAAAAGTATCAAGGTGCAAAAAAGGAATAGCTAAGAGACTGCTTGAAACTAAACACAACTAAAGAACTGGATCCTGTGCCATTGTCCATGTATAACAGGTCAGGATAAATTTAACAGCAGAATGACGAACTTATGCCTGCTTATGAAGGACTATACTATTGTAATGATATAGGGGAAATCAGTGGAGGAGGGGAATTTGGATAAGGAAAATCCCAGAGCCTATGGAACTGTACCATAAAATAATAAAACAAATACTTTTTTAAAAGCAAAAAATAAAAACAGTTTAAAAAAGAAAAAGAGATATTATAACAAATTATAACATATCAGCCTGTATTGGAAACTGACCGGGGGAAATTATGTAGATTTTTTGAAAGATACTGAAAAAAAATTAGAATAGGACCCAGCGCAGTACCCTGGTGGCTAAAGTCCTTGCCTTGCTTGCACCAAGATCACATATGGGTGTTGGTTCTAATCCCACGGTCCCGGTTCCCTTCTAGCTCCCTGCCGGTGGCCTGGGAAAGCAATCGAGGACAGCACAAAGCCTTGAGACCTTGCACCTGACTGGGAGACCCAGTAGAGGCTCCTGGCTCCTGGCTTTAGATCAGCTCAGCTCCGGCCATTGTGGCCACTTGAGGAGTGGATCAATGGATGGAAGATCTTCCTCTCTGTATATCTGCCTTTCCAATAAAAATAAATAAGTCCTTTTAAAACTTAGAATAAGAATAGTCATTTAGGTAACAGCAATATAAGGATGTTCTGATTTTAATATTATACCAATTACATAAAGAATATAATTGCTTTTAAGAAATACATAGTGAGATATTTAGAAGTGAGAGGGTAATGTATCTGCAACTAATCCTTAAGTTGTTAAGTAAATATATATACATACACACACACGTATGTATGTATACACACACACGAGGAATAGCAACTGAGAGATATGCAAGTAATGTCTGAATTTTGGTAGAGCATATAAGTTTCCTGCATTCTTCTTGAGGCTTTTCTAGTCACTGTGAAACTACTCAGAAATTTAAAAATATCCGCAAAACAGATGTTATGGACACTTTCTTCGTTGCATCAATGCCAAATTTGCTTATTTCTATACTTCGTTTTTCCTCTTCCCGATGTTTAGCCATATTTTGGGTTCTACGCTTTGGATCTACCTCTCTGTTTATCATCCTCAATAATCAAACCAGTATGTAATTGCCTGTGTTTGCTGAAGTTGGCTCTTTTTCTGGAACTATCTCTCATGATGTTACCTTCACTAACAGGCACCAAATCACATATGAAGGAAATAACAAACCCAAACACTTCATTCTGAGACCAGGACATATCCTATCCCAGTCACACAGTCTCAGTTTCTTTTGCCTGTCATGTGTACAGTGCTCGTGTGTGGCAGGTGTCTCATTCACACCTACCAGAATCATTTGAAATTGCCGTCTCATTAATATGGAGAATGTTAGGATTACCTTCCACCTGAGAGAACAAAAGACAGCCGCCAATTTTATAGCCACAAAGATAAAAGAATAGTCATGATTTTCAATGGGTTACAAGAAATCATTTGCACCCCTGCCTTCTCTTTAGGCTGCGTCCTTAAGTAAACCATCTCAGAATTCTTTGAACATAAGTAGTGGTATTAAGGAAATCACCATTTTTCAAATAGAAATTATCACATGCCTTTTCCAGATCTAGAAAATGGGTATGTTGAATGACTGTGGTGTTTTTGCTTGATAATAATAATGAGAACTATCATGTTATAGAGGCCCCATGCCAGAAAATGTGCAAGATGTCTTACAAGTATTATCTAACCTAGGAGGCAGACAGCACTATACTGCCTTTACGACTAGACTCTATGGCTCAGGATGACTTGCCCAATTAGTACATTTCTTTAGTGGTAGATCTATAATTTGTGTTTCACATCTCTTTGACTCAAAAACATGTACTTTAGCCTTTGCATCACATTATTATATGAAACCAGTAACAATTCTGCAGTCTTAAACACTTGCTATTGCCTACTTTGGAGACAGATCAATTCCAATGGGAATGTATATAAATGAGGAATTTTCATACCATCTCAAATACACCACTTGCACTTGACTTTATAGACTTAATGTCTCCAAAATCTCCAGAGGGAAATTTTTTCAGCCACACCCAATCACCCTAGAAAGAAAAATGCAGAAAACAATGATTAAACTTAGTTGCCTACATCTTGCAGTCGGTGTTCCTTCCATGTAAAGGTTTATTGTTAAACCATCAATCCATGAAGAGTTTTCCTTCATCTCCCATCCTCCACCATGTGCTATCTTTTGAGCTAAAATGAGACCATATGGAGGGAGAAGTTAAAGTTTAAAATTCCATTAACTCAAGACAGGGAAACAATTGCTGGTATGCACACACTCAGAAAAGGAATGATGCCACTCTGTAATGCCTCCCTTAACTAACTGCAGAAAGTGCTAGGTCATTTCACTTATTCATAGCTAAGTGATGGAGCACCAGGTTTCCTGCGATTAATGGTGATGGTTGGTGGCTGCAATTCCCACTGCCTTGAGGCATCTGTGGAGGGAGATGTAGTGCAGTAAACATTTCCTGCCTTTACTTCCATCCATTTTTCTATTATGGGACAGGCCATTGGGTGTGCATGTTGGGAGGGGGGAATGATATTATGCTTTAATCATAAACTGATCAGTTCAAATATAAATTAACTTTTTATTTGGATGCACAAATGTACTATCATAGTAACATGAGTAATCTAGACTCTCAAAGATACATTTCTGGCTTTTAAAAAGTATAAAACTGCTGTTGTTAAGTCAAAAACAGCAATTATTTTATTGTCTTCACTTCAATACCAGCGCCTGATAGATAATTTTCTTCTACATGCATAGCCTCAAGGATTCATCAGTCATCAAGCCCTATTTACATTCTGTCTACCCCCCAAAAAAATTTAAAAAGCAATACAAATATATAGATTCTTTTTGTTTTGTAATAATAATGTCTTACACTTGCACAACCCTCTCTATTCTTCAACGTGCTTTCGCATCTATTACCTATAGCCTGAAGATTCCATTTCAGGCTGCACCAACTTGTCATCAAAGAGAGATAATAAAGCAGAGAGCTCTGTGCAATCAAAGTCCCAGAATAACAGAGTGACTGCCTTAATAAGGAGTATATCCAGCTGTGACACTGCATCTGGAGACTGCCAAAGGCAAAGGCTAATGGGAGCTGCAGGCATCAGAGTTACTTACAACACTTTGTGTTAGAGAGTAGGTTCTAGCCAAGGAGCTCAAAACACTGTAATTACACAATGACTATAAGAGACTTTAAGCATCTAAACCCAACTGCATCAGCTAGAGCCTACAGAATTCAGAGGCTCAGTTCAGCCTCAATGCCTAGTTACAGCAAAATAGTCCAAGTTTCACCCAGAGATTCTGCAAGTGTGGACCTGGACATTAGCCTCACCTGGAAACTGGTTAGATTCCCAAGCTTGAATAAAACATAAGAAATCAGAATTTGTAGGAGTGGAACTTACTAATCATTATAAGTGTGTGTCCCACCACCAGAGTGCTATCCTTTTCCTTAACGCTGTGGTCCTCTCCTGAGTCATACTATCTCCATTTACTCTTCACAGAGTTTTTCTCATTGAAGTCTGCTATTGACCAGGGATCTAAAAGTAATTGACTGAAATAATGAGCTCCCAACACAAGCTTAATGCTTTACCCTTCAGAGAAAGGCATCCTATAGAGAGATCAAAGGCTAAGTTTTATTAAACTAGAAGAATAGAACTTTAATTGGGAATCTACAAGATCATGCAATGGCTGGAATATATCGGTAAGCAAATGAGTAAACAAAAATCCTTCCTAACATCACTGCAAAACTATTACTTGACCCAATAGTCACTATTGTATGCCATGGCACCTGCATGTGTTGCCTACCAATAAAAAAGATGTTTCCTCCCAATAAAAAAAAAAGGTGCTATGAGTATATCATTTATAGTCAGTGGCAACCATTTGATACACGATAGCAGTGCTGGCTATATTCATGCATTCATGGACACACTGCCATTTACTCATACGTTTCCAAGACACCATGGAGGAAAGGGGTATTCTGCACATCACCAAGCTGCATTTGCCACAGATGCCTCCTCTTCTCGTTAATGTGCAGCAGGGGGTTGAAAGGCTGGAGTTGGGGCTCCAAGAACAGGCAGGAGAGAGGAGCACGTAAAAGCAACTGCAGGAAGATAGCGAGGCGAGTGAACATGCAGGCGCACATGTGTTTCCCAGTAGCTGTACACATGCCTAGTCAAGTGTGCTGCTTTAGACTGCAGGGTGAGAAAGCTATCCCCCTCACCCTATTTCAGGACTCAGTTGGAAGGCTAGATCTCTGTGCTCTTTCCTGCACCATTCTGTTACAAGATCAATTCAACGTAAACAGTGACCTCTTAGCTAGACTGCCGCTATGCAATGCACAACCTGAACATCAGCAGGAGGAACCTTCCTGATTCTGGCTTCCTGCTAACATCTGACACCTTCTTCCTGCAATTAGCCATATTGCAAGCAGAGGTCAGTTTCTGTCTGGTTCATTAACTGCCACAGTTAGTTTACTGCACCACAGGTCATTTTCCTGTCAAATTACCAAATTTGAGATCTGCGAAGGATCTTAAGTATCCTTAGTTCAATTCTTTTTTCTTTTTTTTGAAGATTCATTTTCATTAGAAAGGCAGATATACAGAGAAGAGGAGAGACAGAAAGGAAGATCTTCCATCTGATGGTTCACTCCCCAAGCGGCCGCAACAGCTGAAGCTGCACTGATCTGAAGCCAGGAGACAGGAGCTTCTTCCGGGTCTCCCACATGGTTGCAGGGTCTCAAGGCTTTGGGCTGTCCCCAACTGCTTTCCCAGGCCACAAGCAGGGAGCTGGATGGGAAACAGGGCTGCCGTGATTCGAACCGGCACCCATATGGGATCCTGGCACGTTTAAGGCAAGGTCTTTAACCACTAGGATACCACGCTAGGTCCAGTTCAATTCTTTCACATTTTGATTAGCAAGAGCCTGAAAAGATTATGTGACTTTCCCAAAGTCACAAGACCAGTAATAGCACCAGCGAGCGAAACAGCATCTTCCCATCACTCACTTTCTTGTCCTTTCCTCTCGCTGGATTTATTTGGTTTGGGAACAGAGAGAGAGAGAGAGAGAGTGAGTGTGTGTGTGTGTGTGTGTGTGTGTATTTGTGTGTGTTAAGATTCAAATAATTCTCAGAAGGTCTGTAAGCAAATTTGTTTGGAGTCTGTGTGCATCCTACATCATGAACAATGAGGAAAAGGGGAGAGATGAGCAGGTTTTATCTTCACAACACATGCAGCATCTGTCTGGGTATTTGCTTTTAAGAGAAGAATTGATAAAGTACTTCCCTCTTCACTCACTCACGTTTTAATTAAAAGCAAGGAGTATCAAACTCTATTTGCTAAAGTTTTTAGAAGGAATTTAAAGTGTTTTTGCACTAAGGTCATGGCATATTAAGACAGAGGAGAACTATGTCGTAAAATTGGCAATGCTTCAAACTCCAGAGTGGCCTAAGTGCAGCCACTTACTCAGTCTGAGCCTCTGACTTTTCATTGATAGGAGTTGAATTTACTTGGAGGATTCTTTACATTCTTTTCAGCTCTAATAATCTATGATTCTGTGGAGATTGAGAAAGAGAAGATTGCTGCTGAATAAAAAACAGAGGTGTGTTGAAATAGAATTATACGAGATACCCAAGGTGTAAGGACAGGCGAAGGCTCTATGAACGGGAAAGGAATGGAGAAGAAAGGTCACACACACACACACACACACACACACACACACACCGGGGGAAAGGCTAAGCAACAAAGAATCAGAGTGGGAAAATGGAGAGGCAAAAGGAGTTCATTTGGTCCTCCCTGTGGCTTTCAGAGTTACACTGATGCCCACCTCAGTTCTCACACATTGACTGTGGCTCTTACAGCCAATCAGGGCATGTTCCCCCTACATCCAAGCAGACAGATTCTTAAAAACCAGCAACACAGAGCCGCAGTTTTTTTCATTGTGAATTTTACACTATAACTTTGCACCGCCCCCCTCCAAATAAGGCCTGTCACAATTCAACACAAATCAATTCACAAGATCAGCAAATCAAAGGTAGAAAAGGCCTTGGAGGGCTCAGAGTCAAGTAATTCTCAACAGTGGCTGCATAGTATCAGGGAAATAATAATTTAAAAAAATACCTGCATTATGTATGAACTGAATCAGAATTGCTGGGAGCAGGGCCTAAGCAGAGGTATTTTCAAGCTTCCTAATGAGCCTTTAATGAACAAACAGTATTGGAACTTCGTTCAACATTTCATTTTACAGTCAAATAAAGCAAGTGAAATTTACTTTAGAAACTTACAAGTGTCAATACCTCTTGTATCAGTTCATTCCAGTTGACATTCAAAAGCTATCCAATTACCTTATCTTTGGTCTTTAAGAGAAGTGAAGCTGCCAATTTCCCAATATCTCAAGTTTATACCTGAAGCAAATTTCCTTAGGATTAAATTAAGTCTAATGTAAAAATCCAGCGGGTCTCAGCTGTGAATGTAAGCCAAGCCATCAGGAATACTAAGAAAACATATTCAAGGTCAATCTTGGTGTTACATAGCTATCTTAACCGCTTTGTGAGATTTAGCAATTTACAAAGCACAGAAAACTATTTCTCACAGTGCTGGAGACTGGGAAGTTCAAAATCAAGGCATCAACCAGTCACTTGTCTGATTGAAGCCTGCGCTCTTTTTCCAGCATGATGCCTTGTTGGCGCCCTCACATGGCAAAAGGCAGAATGGCAAGCTAACCAAACACTGCTTTTTAAGAAAGACCCAGCGAAACAGTTAAGTATACATTAGCAGTATGATGCTGGATTTTCTAGCGCTGCCTATACTTACAGTGCCATGATACACTTAAATAGCATCTCACTCGTGGCCCCCTCAAACTTCATGTTATTTTCACAGGCAAAGCACAGCCATCCCATCCCCATAACACCCAAAGTCTTTCTGTTTGTTTGTTTGTTTTTGTTGCTCTATTTGTTTTACATGTAACACCCAAAGTCTTAATTCATCCCAACATGATTTCAGATATCTACAGTCAAACATAGGTGAAATTCAAGGCACAGTTTTTCTGGATGCAAATTACTTTCCAACTGAGTGTGTGTGACATCACAGGCTTCCAAAACGCAATGGTAGGACAGATAGAGGACAGATATTTCTATTAAAAAGAGGGAACAGGTCTGAGATAAGCTCAAAATCTAACCGGGCACACAGGACTAAATCTTGAGGTTTGAAAAAAATCTTCTCTGAATTCATGTTCCACCTCTCAGTCACACTAGGTTGAGTATTGGGTTTCTAAGAATCAAGGAGCTTCTGCCTCCATGGCGTTTCTGAGTGCAGTCCGCACTATAGCTTTCACAGATAAACACTGAGCATCTCAAGTTCTCATAGGCTGGCACTGCATGCTGCTGATTCTACAGGTCTCAGATCATCCAGGCAACCCTGTTCCCATGGTTACACTAAGCACTGCTCTGCTGGTTCTTAGCAGGGACACCAACCATACTTTCACACTGGACATTGCACTATTGGAAACCCTCTTCAGTGACCCTGTTTTTGCCTCAAATCTCTGCCCAAGGTCCTGAGCCTCCTTGAGCTATCCTTTGCCATCTAAGTGCTTATGGCTTGGGCTTTCCCAGCACTTGCATTGTGCAAACCTACAAAATCAGCCCCAAGTAAACATCACTGAGACTTATCATTTACACCTTCCACAGTGATGCTAATAGCTACTGTTGTTCCCCCAAGCATCCTGGATCCTTCGGAAATCATCCAGGCCTCCAGGTCCTAGCGCTCTCGGCCTGTGATGGGAATGGACACTTCAAAGATCTCCAAAATGTCTGGAGAGTCATTCTCCCATCGTCTTCATTAATAGTATCTGACTTTCCTCTATCCATACCAATGTCCTTATCAAATTTTTACTTCAGCATATTTTAGTTTTCTTTCCTCTGTGTATGATTTTTCTTTAATTGTTTACATTTTCAGCCTGAGAATTTTACAGATCTTTACATTCTACTTTCTTTTTGTTTATGAATTCTATCTTTAAAATTCCCTTCTCTTCCCGCATTTTACCATGAGCAGTTAAGAGAAGTTACACAGCATCCTGCAGGCTTTCCCACCAGATATCCTAGGCAATTGTTCTCCAACTTACCTTTTAATTCTGTTTTACATAAACTTTTTAATATGTGTGTGTATGCATGCACATGTGTGTGTTTTCTAGAATAAATGACATGTTTCATGGCCTGGATTTCAAGGACTTTTCTCCACACGCATAGTAAGTACTTGCAGTTAAAAGTTCAAGGGGGAGCGCCTGGTGTGGTGGACTGGCAGTTGAAGTCCTCACCTTGAACGTGCCAGAATCCCATATGGGCACCAGTTCTAATCCCAGCAGCCCTGTTTCCCATCCAGCTCCCTGCTTGTGGCCTGGGAAAGCAGTCGAGGACAGCCCAAGGCCTTGGGACCCTGCACCTGCAAGGGAGACCCGGAGGAAGTTCCTGTCTCCTGGCTTCAGATCGGCACAGCACCGGCTGTTGCGGTTTCTTGAAGACTGAATCATCAGATGGAAGATCTTCCTCTCTGTCTCTCCTCTGTATATCTGACTTTGCAATAAAAATAAATAAGTCTTCAAAAAAAGAAAAGGTCATGGGGGTATAGGTAAGTAGAGTCATTGCTAAGGACAGTCGTTGTCAGGTCAGGAGTATATGGGATTTTTTGCATTACTGCCTCTCAATTTGGGCTTGGCAGCTTGAAAACTCCTGTGATTTTTTTTAAAACAAAATAAATGTCAAACCTTAAGTAAACATAGATAAAACTTTGGAACTCTTATCAAATATCTCAATATTCTATAAAGAGACTACTTCCCAAGTCACTTCCCTGTTTGAAAACTCAAGAAGGCAGCAGATTTGATACCTGATGGCGTACCTCATAAATCGCTATGTTGGAGTTTTCATAGGTAGCTGGAGTTAGACTCCCTGAAGAAAAGGAGAGCCTTGGCGACCTCCCACTTTGAACCTCTGAGATGAGCTGAAAGCTTACACTGGCACGACTTCCTCTCTGTAACAGAAGTAAGAATGAAAGGTTGTAGACAAAACGCTCAATATTAGGGCAGAACCTTGAGCTGTGATGTAGATACTGTATTACATTTTCTATTTCAGTTTTTCATCTCTAAGACAGTAACAGTGCTAGCAAATCCCTATATAACTGGATGCTGACTAATTTTCCCTACATTTCATAACTCCTTGTTTTAATTTCAAAGTTGGTACTTTATTTTGTTCCCGTTGCTGATCAAAACAAAGATTTGCAGGTGCTTCCATTTCCTAATAAGGATTAGAATCAGAAATGTGGGAGGGTAAGAAACAATGTTGCAATTGTAATTTATTTGGGGATCTTCTTTTTAGAGACAAGAAACTGAGATTTAAAAAATCGGTTAAATCAGTTTCCTACAGCTAGTCACTTATTTTGTTACCAGAAGCATTATTTGCCGAAATCTAACATTTTTAAAAATGAATAGCAGAACTAGGACAGAAGCCCACACTCCTGACTCTCAGAATTGACTGTTTCTGTTACATCATCCAGAATGGCATCCATGGAAATAAGATCCACGGAATGGAAGAGAACGTGTATTGTGGTACAACAGATTGACATCGTTTGGAATGTCTGCATTACATATCCAAGTGTTAGCTCAAGTCCTAACTACTGTCTAACTCCGATCAAGCTTCCTGCTAACGCACGTAAGAAGCCACAAACAATGCCCACTACTTTGGCTCCTGCTGACCACATGGGAGACTTTGATGGAGTTCCTGTCTCCTGACTTCAATCTGGCCTACTCCTTTCTGTTGTAAGTATTTGGGGAGGGAAAGAACAGATTTAAGATATCATTTTATCTCTGCCATCATCCTTTCTCTGTCATTGTGCCTTTCAAATAAAATAAATAAATAAATAAATAAATAAATAAATTTTTATTTAAAAAATAAGTGGAGGAGGTATCCTGGAATGCACTAAGATAGCAAAAAAGCAAGTAGATCATCTGCTTATAATTTGTGATTCTTATGGTTGAGTAGACCAAAATCCTCTTCCACAACTTGCTAACTTTACAAGTCTGATAAAAGAAGACTGGGAAATAATGATATGGTATGGTTGAGTGACAAGAGGATGAGGAATGTACAACTGTGTTCACCTTTAAAATTGAATTTCTATTGTCTTCAATTGAACCCGGAGAGCTAGCAGTTGCATTTGGCATTAACTAGGGCAACACCCACTCCCCAACTCCACTGCCCTCATTTTATTAGGAATAAATTTAAAAAGGGATGCATGGGCTTGAATAATAATCTAAGAATATTAATATCATATGTCCTGGCCCTGTGCTCTTCCTACCACATCACACTTTATTTCACTCTTACCAATAAAAGCAATCTTAAGTACTTTCCAACATTCTTTCTTTAATGGTCTTTGATCAGCTGAAGATCATTAGTTAACTCTGACCTGACTTAAGCTCCTGTTAGCAAGACTATCACAGTCAGAGGCCTGCATTCTGGCCCAGTGGATTAAGACACTACTTGTGACGCCAGCATCCCCTCTTGGAGTGCCGGTTTGAGTTTCAGCTATTCTATTCTCCACTCCAGTTCCCTACCAAGTTGCCTGGGAAAGCAGAAGATGGCCCAAGTCCACGTGAGAGACTCAGGTGGAATTCCAGGCTCTTTGTGCTGGACCCAGCTCTTGCTGTTACAGGCATTTGGGGAATGAACTAGCAGAGGAAAGATCTCTCCCTCCTTCCCTCCCTCCCTCTCTGAAATTTGTGGCATAATGAGCTACTTGCTGCTTGCAATGCCAGAATCCCATATAGGAGCACTGGTTTAAGATCAAGTCTACATTTTTGATATAGCCCCTTTCCAACATGCATGAGAAGGCAGCAGAGGATGGACCGGTACTTGAGTCCCTGCCACCCACCTGGAGCAAGCTCTGTTTTCAAGCCTTTGGTACTACCTAGCCCTAGATGAGGAGTACACAAGTGCATGGATGATTCTCTCTCTCTCTCTCTCCTTCAAACAATAAATATAAGTAAATCTCCCCAGCTGTAGGCAATGGCCTAGGTTACATTGCACCTAGACAAGTGTTACAAAGCTTGGAGAAAAGCAGTCTGCAGCTGGAGGGCATCCTAGGCCTGATTAATGCCAAATTTGTGTTACCTATATCTGTGTGCCAGCATGATCATCTTTTCTATTTTACTTTTTAAGATTTGTGGGGGGCATGGGTCCGGCGCAGTAGCCTAGTGGCTAAAATCCTCACCTTGCTTGCACCAGGATCCCATAGGGGCAGCAGTTCATATCCGGTTGCTCCACTTCCCATCCAGCTCCCTGCTTGTGCCTGGGAAAGCAGTAGGCCTTGGAACCCTGCACCCAAGACCTGAAGAAGCTCCTGGCTCCTGATTTCAAGTCAGTTGAGCTCTGCCCGTTGCAGTCACTTTGGGGAGTGAACCAGCAGATGGAAGATCTTTCTGTCTCTTCCTCTCTCTCTAAATCTGACTTTCCAATTAAAAAAGAAAATCTTATACAAAAAGATATGTGGGAGCAGACACTGGCATGTCAACAGACAGGGTCTGGAGACCTGGGCACAAGTGTATATAGGCTCCAGGTAGTCAGGCACGGCCCCAGGCTGGCACCGCACACAGCCAGAGGACTGGGCTTGGGTATCTGCACTCTAGTGGGCATGGGGGATTCTGGATTTCTCAAGGTAACCAGTCTGGAGATGTGTAGGAGGGGGGACTGCTGAGGGAGAATATGATAGGTGAGGCATGACTTCTGGGGAACTTCCATCAATCTGGCTACTGTAAACGAGGGGGTTGAGACTGAATAGTTAAGAGGAGGGAAACCAGAGGACCTTTTGGAGCCAAACTAATACACCCACCCACAGAGGAGACCTGAGCTAGGATTGTTGATATCAACCACCACGTGTACCACAAAAGTCATGGCTAGGGTGCCTGCCTAGTAGGGCTTGATCACAATACCTGCCAATGAATGTTGGGGCAGGGAGTGGACCATGTTAGGCTGGGACATGAAACTAACCAGCTCACAAGAGAACTGGATCTGGGAGCAGATTCTGTGGAGGAACGTGGGCTCACCCCTGTGGGATTGCCATACCAGCTGGTTTGTTTGATGCTTGGGGTAGTGACGGGCTGAACTAGAACAACCACTGAACTCAACAACACTGATGGGCACTGGCATTGGGAACAGGCCTAACTCATCCAGGCTGTGGTGCCCGCATGCAAACACAGGAAGTTGGTGTGGGGTGGGCCAGGCTGCAACATCCACCAGCACACACAAAGGCCAACACTAAGGCCTAACACCTGCTAGTACACAGGAAATCTGTGACTAGAAGAGGGCCTGGCGGGGGAACTTTGGGAACTTCCCTACTGGGCTATCACTCCCACTAGTGAGCACGTGAGTCAGGGCTGGGTGCTGGTCAGACCAGACAGGGCTGCTTCGCTTGTTGGCACGTGTGTGGGTTGGCTCTGTAGGGGGTGAACCAGGAAGGGACAGGCAAAACCATACCACAGTGGCGCTTGCAGGAGCCAGAATGAGGTGTGGGTCACACTGAGCAAGGCTAGGTTATCAAACTTACCAGTGGGCATGAAAGCCAGGGGTAAGGACAGGCTGGGCAGGGATAGACTGCAGCACCCACCAGTGAGAGTTGGGACTGGGGACAGGCCAGGCCAGGCTGAACCATCTGATGGCAAAGGCCACACTGGGTCAGAGCAACCATGGCATGTGCAAAATCTGTGGCTGGGAGCGAGCTTGGTCAGAGAGCTAAAGAGATTCCTTGGCAAGGCTATGGTTCCCACTAGAGAGCACAAGAGCTGGGAATGGGGGCAACAAACTGGGCTGGACATGGCAACAACATCCCTGGACATAAGTGTGGACTGGGTTTGGGGCATGCCAGACTGAGCTAGACTACAGCACCCATTGGTACTCACAAGAACCAGAGTAGGTATAGAACATGCTCTACATCAGGGACCCTGGGACGACATTGGGTGGCCTTCCCACATTCCCAGGTACTAACACAGTTGGGTCCCTGGGAGTGACTGTCTCCCCTTGTCTCTCCACTTTCTCCAGATACCAAAAGAAAAAGGGAGTTTCAATGCAGATTTCTCATCTACTTTCCCCCCATTCCTTGACCCTCACCACCATAATTGATGGTCCACATGGCATGTATCCCTCTCAACTACGTAAACATCATGAAAAATAAAATGAATTCATTTCTTTAAAGTCTTAAAGTAAATTTGCTTTTAAAGGTGACCCTCTCTGTCTTTTCCACTCTCACTGTCACTCTTACAATAAAGAAAGAAAGAAAGAAAGAAAGAAAGAAAGAAAGAAAGAAAGAAAGAAAGAAAGAAAGAAAGGAAGAAAGAAAGAAAGAAAGAAAGGAAGGAAGGAAGGAAGGAAGGAAGGAAGGAAGGAAGGAAGGAAGGAAGGAAGGAAGGAAGGAAGGAAGAAAGAAAGAAAGAAAGAAAGAAAGAAAGAAAGAAAGAAAGAAAGAAAGAAAGAAAGGAAGAAAGAAAGAAGGAATTCTTTAAAAAAAACCTGTCACAGTCAACTTTAAGAAAGTGGTAGGGCCAGCACAGTAGCCTAGGGGCTAAAGCCCTCGCCTTATAAGCACAGGGATCCCATATGGGTGCTGGTTCTAATCCCAGCAACCCTGCTTCCCATCCAGCTCCCAGCTTGTGGCCTGGGAAAGCAGTCGAGGACGGCCTAAAGCCTTGGGAACCTGGACCCACGTGGGAGACCTAGAAGAAGCTCCTGGCTCCTGTCTTCAGATCGGCTCAGCTCCGGCCTGGGTAGTGAAGCAACAGATGGAAGATCTTCTTCTCTGTTTCTCCTCCTCTCTGTACATCTAACTTTCCAATAGTAAAAAAAAAGAAAAAAAGAAAAAAAAGAAAAAAAAGAAAGAAAAGAAAGAACGTGGTAAACTATTCCCAGGGGCTGATTTCTGAAATTCCAACAGTTCAAAATTCAAAAAAAGATGTAAAATTTCACTCTTACATCAACCTATACTCTCCC